AAATTTTCCTTTTTATTAAAATACTTTTAAGCAAAAAAAGCAAAGCCTTGGACACTTTTGCAAATTCACACTGTGGTTTTGGTTGGGTGGTGGTGAGCATGTGTTATCTGCGGGTGGCGCTGTCCAAAGTGGGCAATGGGACTCTCTACTCGGAGGTGACCATGTTTCGATTCAGAGACGGGAAGTGGAGGGTGAATAGGTCACGGTGGCCTTTAACTTTTCCTTTTTTGCTATCTAGTCATCCTTGTTGGTCTTCTGCTTCTAGGTGTCAACATCCTCCTCCTCCTCATCTTCAGCTGCCTGTTTGCCTGTAGCTGCCTTGGCCTCCTCATCTTCATTTCCATCTTCTTCCTCACCATCACCTTCTTCCTTGTCTACCTCATTGTCAGCCTCCTGTTCTGCATTTTCCTTGCTAGCATTCCCATTAGCAGGTGCAGCTCTCCTATTCTATTTTCTCTACAACCTCCTACTTCTCCTGTAAGTCCTTGGTGGTTATCTCAGCTGGTGTCCACAGCCGCGTGTGACGTGGTGGAGCAAGCCAGCGATCCAATATAGAAGATGACAAAGAAAGCATGAGTTCGGGCACTCTGGAGAGAGAACTGCTGGAGTCCTTGACGAAGGAGGAGGAGCGCTGCAGAGGTGGCTTCGACAAATGGGAAGCCGGAACTGGCAACACTGCAAAGATGGTAGCCAATCCCTTCCATCTTCTTTTGATGCTTTCTGCATTGTTCAATATTTTGCACTTAGAATCCTTCAATATTTCACGTTGAGGCTTCAATTTATTATTTCCCTCAGTTTGACAAATGCTGAGTGTGTTCTTCCTTTTTGGTTTTCTAATTTCAGGTCTTTGCACTTATTTCATTAAAATATTTGACCTACTCTTTTTGAATTGTCTTTTAAAAATTTTTCTATTCAGCTCTTTTACCTCCTCATTTCTTTCATTTGCTTTAGCATCTCAACATCAGAGAGCAAGTTTCAGAGTCTCTTCTGACACCCATTTTGGTCTTTTCCTTGTTTCTTGCCTTCTTAATGGTCTTTTGTTTTCTTCCTGTATGATGTTCTTGATATCATCCCACAACTCTTTTGGTCTTCAGGCTTTAGTATCTAATGTATCACATCTGTTCTTCAGATGATCTCTAAATTCAGGTGGCATGTGCTCAAAGTCATATTCTGGCTTTCCTAGACTTGTTTTAATTTTCTTCAGCTTCAACCTGAATTTGCATATGAGCAA